TGTATCTGCAATGCTAAAATGCTATGGGAAGAGACTGTAGACTGTAGGTTAAAATGATTATGAAGCACGAATCGTTACATATTTCGAAACGTATTCAATAGTTTACAATAGAAATTTACAACTGAGTTGCCAACAGCTGAGTTTTACTCCATAGAGGCTAAACACGAATTTTATTCCCTAAAGAGTAAAAATGCTACTTTAGACCCGCAAAGCATGCCCCAATGACGACTGTTTTTACCGCAGTATGACAAAAACAATATAATATGAACCCTTGATGACTCCGCTCAATTTTGTGGATGCCTCTGCGAACGCCACCTAGTCTATTTAATTAACATTTATGTTTAAAGAGTACCTAGGTTTGCTGCTACAGGGAAACTAATAGAGTGTGGGTTTTATTTAAATATTAATATCTTAGTATAAAATAAATAAATCTGCCAAGTTTGATCAAAATATATCTATAAACAAGCCAACTACAACATTTTACAATATTGTCCATAAGAATAACATGGTAATTTGGAATTAACAATTTTTTTAAATTTTCCCCGTGATTAATAGCCATACAAAAACACTTTGATATACTAAATTATTTGGTTTTTTAGCTCTTTAAAAAGGTCTGGAGAAAAATTAATAAATTTTGTGTTTTAAAGTTAAAATTAGAAAAAAACCCATTTTTACGCCATAAAATCCCCGTTTAACCCCATTCCCATGGTCCAATCATGCTGGTTCACGAACTCATTCAAGTTTATCCCGCCTTATAACTTCAAACAAAATTTTATCAAAATCAGACAAAGATTACTCAAGTTATCGTCTTCACGGACACACACATATATTATATATGCTTATGCTTGATATGAAATCTATGTGTGCGTAGATTCAATTTGAAACCCCAATTATGAAAATAGGTCGGGGAGAAGACCCAAACAAACTCGGAAAAGAAAAATCAATTTTAAACAAAATATAAGATAGGTATTGTTTAAGGAGATAATTTAAACTGGCAAAGAACTTTGTGTTTTGAAACATTCCTTCCATAGATGACCTTCTGATTCATTATTAATAAACACTTTTCCACAGTGCTACAGTATATATTTTTTGACACATCTGCTTCAGCCATGCCATCATGGCATACTTGGTGTCGAAGTATGCCAAGGACGATTCTCTCTATCCGAAGGACCTGAAGAAGCGAGCCATCGTGGATCAGAGGATGCATTATCACAACGATGTCTTTTACCTTCTCCGTAGTATCATTGTAAGTCCTGATTAAGACGTTTCATGTGTTTTTGTACCAGTACTTAGAGACACACTGCAATGTTAACATCGTCTCACTCTAATTACTTTGTCTCACTCCAGATTTGCAATGTGAAGGCACAAAAGTGGCCAATTCGCTCAATTGGACAATGTTAACATTGCCTCACTCTAATTACTTTGTCTCACTCCAGATTTGCAATGTGAAGGCACGTTTCTTAACCAATTTATTTGTTTTATGGTAACTGTAGTTGTTTCGAAACAGCGATGGTTTCTTTCAATTCCTCATATGATAAGTTCCTTAGCACTTTTGAGATGAAAAATTGTATTTTTACCGATTTGTTTTCTTACACACTAGACTTTGCCCCCAGAGTTAAATGGTTTCAGACAAAGCTTGTAAGATTTAATTTAGAATTAGAACTAAGGTGACAGTTTCAAATAGTTTTTGTCTTGTAGAGAAAGATACTGTACGGAAACCTGAGAGTATTGACTGACTCACATATACAGCAAGTACGGGAGGTTCAGATCAACTTGGAGAAGCTGCTGGAAGGCAACAAGTATATGGCCGGAGACTCTCTCACTCTAGCCGACTACAGCTTCATCACATTAGTAGACATCCTCGAGGTAACGGCATCTTTTTAGTTGGTATAACCATAGATAAAGCATACTCCCTTAGTAGATTTCTCATCCTTACGGAACAGCTGAAGCCAATTTTATTGACAGTTCTGTCTGGTGCACTGTAGAGGTCGTGTTTACAATATGTTTCTCGTTATTTCAGTGTTTTAAAACCTCGTTTGACAAAATAAAACGATCTAATCATAAACAATAACTCGTCCCCTAGTTATATAACCAAAAGGTAAAGCACAAATAATTAAATTAACCATAAAATAATAGAAACAAAATTTCATCGACACTTTTACAATGGGATGAGAAGTCTACAACTTAACATATCATAACATAATCTAACATATCATAGCATAACCTAATATAACCTAAAATAGCATTACATAACCTAACCTATCATAACCTAATCTCTTTATTATTCCCTTAGATATCTATTTCATTTATTAAATAAATTCTTAGCTTATCATTTGGCTTTAATAGTTGCAAGGTGAAAAAACCTATTGGCTTGTTCGGTACAGTTTAGATTAGCTGGAATGGATATTGTACAAGGATTTACTTGTATTTTGAGTAGGTGGAGGTACCTTCAGAATATTATAAGTATTTCAGAATTATTTTTCACTATCATCACTTTAAAAAAACTTGTATTTCACATATTTTTCATTTGGGGGGGGGGGGATCCAACCAACATGTAAAATTCCAAACTTGTTAAGGCCTGTTTCAATCTATTTCAAATTAAAGAAAATCTTGATTTATGATGGTCAGATGCATCAATTTTGCATAACTTTTTTTTAAATATTTTTATAATTTCTTCTCCCTCGAGTATAACATTTTTTGTGGAAGTTATAAGGTAATATAGTAGACAAGGAAATTGTACTGGATTCTGATAAGTATATTGTTTTGATATTAGAAAATTACATTTTAAAACATCACTTTTATTCCAATCAATTTTATCAAAGAGTACACTGTATTAATAGCTGAGTCAGTATCTTCATCAATAATATTTTTACCAGAGCCGTCTTTATAACATGCGAGGCCTGGGGCAATACATAATTGCGAGGCCTTGTTTAACTAAGCTCACCGGGGGGTCCGGGAAAAATTTTATAAAATTATACTTGTAAATTCGTCATTTTAAGCACTTTGACGAAAAAAATTTTCTCATCTTTTTCATTTAGTATAAAAAATAAATAGGCTATAACATTAATTTCGATACCATAACAACAGTAAAATTATTTTATTTTGACATTTAGTATAAAAAATATATAATATATATTTTTATGACAAGATTTTCATCATATGTTTGAATATTATACTACATAAATGCCTCTTGCTCTTAAACTTTTTTAGTCCAACTAAATGCCTTTCCTTTTAGTAACAAAATTATTAAGTGGTCCAGTAAGATCGGCCTATTTTTAAGATCCTACTAAGTGATCGATTTTGAAGACGCGCCGAATCTGCGTGAAAACACACTCCGTGTAGCATACCTCATTACATTTAATGCTGCCCATATTTCTCGCGTTTTTTTTCGTTGCGTTCTTGCGTGAAAATAAAACGCCCGTGTGGCCGTAGCCTAAGAGTAAGCGTATGACTCACTCATATTCACCGGGGTGGCTCGGTGGCTGCCGCGAGGCTCAGGTTCCGTCATCGCCGCCAAGCTGTCAAACGTTGTTTGATATTATTTTGTGTTTTAAATGTCGTTCGTAGAAATTAATCGATACAACGATTGATATAGGCCAATTCATAATAAATAAGACATATTTTAGGCACATGTATCTGTCTGTCCTTTATTTTTTTATTTTCATTCCAAAACATTAACTTATTTCTAGCGATAGTAAGGCCTCGCCGGAGAAGGCCTGGAGCGGCCGCTCCACCCCAAGGACGGCGCTGATTTTTACCAAGACATTATATTAATTATTTCCTGAAATACAATAACTGGGATTTGACATGTTTTCTTTTAGTTTCATATTTATATTTCTTAACTGTGAGAACTCCCCATTCTTTAAACATAAAAATAACCCATAAGGTAAGAAATTCAAATTTCAATCTGGTATTTTTGTAGTTTACATTGCAGTGGAAACATCTAAATAAACTGTACCAACTTTCAGGCCTACTTGCCGATGGAAAACAAATTCCCATTGATCAAAGCTTGGGAAGCTCGTTGTAAAACGTCAATGAAGAATTTCAAACACGTTAATGAGAAAGGTGCAGCTGATATCGTCGCCAAGATAAGAGACAAAATGTCGTCAATGGAGAATTTATTTTAAATAGTTTCTTTTCAATTTCTGATGGGCGTATGTTGCTGAAGGGAGAAAAATGTTTCCCAATACGCCTATTTGGATCGTCCAATGCCAAGAGATGATGAAGAATTTCTACTTTGTGGATGAAAAGAGAGCTGATAAAATTATCGACAAATTCCAAAAATTAGGATACTTCATGAACATTATCTTCTTGAAAGAAAATTTACAAGATTGTGTAATATTGGAACAAGTAAATATTTAAACTAAATGATAGTTACAGGTATGGAAATACAATATTATTTTAACATTTGAAGTCTGTGTTTTATTTATAAGCCCTGAAATTAATTAAGGTGGTGAATATTTTAGGGTATACTACAACAAAACCAATTTGTCTGTTTAAGCTTTATACCTTAAAGCATAGGAATTAAATTATGAAGCCTCATTGAAGTAGACAAGCCTCAAATGTCAAAAGATTAATCTAGTATATCAGTCAGGTAGGAGCATTCTTGTCACCACAAACTTAAAAGTACAATCTTTTTACTTTGAAAAGTGTATTTAATCTGGTTTCATTGGATAAACCTAAGAAAACGTTTGTAGCTTATTGACTAATAGCAATGAACGATTTGAAAAAATAATTCTTAGATCAAACTTTTAAAAGATGTATTCTCTTTTAAAATAAACAAACTGAATTGACTATAAATTATACCAATGTAGAAACGTACTTTGTTGCATCAATGCATTAACAATTTGTTACTATTTTATTGTTTTCAACAAAATGATAAAGGTTTTTCTTAGCATTTTTAAAACTGAAAGATCCCAATCCAAATCTTACACCTTATCACCACTAAGCCCAAGGCTTACAGATGAAGTCTTTTATCAATTAATTAATTATTTGCTTGATCAATTAGTCAACTGCATTTGACAAGGTCTTTTAGTTACTTTTATACATCTACACCGTGTTAATATTTAAGTTCAGTCATTGAACACTATCCAAAAAGACTCCGATGAAAAATGTTCACGGTAATTATTTTTAGAAGCTATAATTTTGAACGTGGCTATTACCTTACCGGGAAAGTTTTGGCGTTAGAATTTTGTAAAATAGCCATTAAGTGATTTGAATTGAAACAATATTTTATTAGTAAAATTTATTTTTACTTCAATTGAAAATAGAAAGTGTCTGTAAAAAATCTGATTCAACACATACTTAATATTTGAGAAAGAAACAGTAGAAATTAACACGAATCAAATTATTATCTGAAAATTCCGTGGTATGAATGAAGTATGGGCGAACGATGAGGTTTGGGGATTGGAACATCCGTTGCCCACCGGCTCGACAAACATCTCGTTGGAACATTATCTACTGCAGAACCGAGGACCAAAGCATCTCCCGTTGTCCGTCGTAGTGCCGATAACCATCGTCTACGCCTTCATCTTCCTCTCTGGAGTCGTCGGAAACATCGCGACGTGCGTCGTCATTATCTTCAACACTAGTCTACACACAGCTACAAATTACTATCTTTTCAGCCTAGCAGTGTCGGATGTCACTCTTCTATTGCTTGGTAAATTTTATTTTAATTTGGAATTTTTCATGTACAGTATAGTAAGAGGAAACATAAATTTCCAGTTAGAGGTAATGCTACACTGAACTAAAATCTCTTTAGGCCAATTACATTTTCTTTCAAGTGACCCTTGGTAAAAAATGTACGTATTTCAAAGTAATCAAATCAAATCTAATTGTTGATCAGTATCAAATCACTGAATCAAATTGTTCAGTATTCTTACTTTTTTATGCAGATATCTTTACTTAATGAAACTTGAGCTTCAAAATCCTTGTTCTCTAACTTCAAGCAATGTAGAGTTACTTATCCAAGTAAAAGAGTTACATTTCCATTTTGACAAGTCGTTTTGTTTCATTTTGTTGTTTCAAAAGTGTCATTTTGCCCAAGATTTAATGTAAACATTATTTTAATAATGAGTATTTAAAGTATGTTAAGAGTCAATTTTCTTTTGGATTTGAATGAAACCAAGAGAAGTATAGTTTTAAATCTTTTATTTATATTTTGCCACTTCTATTTATACCTTGGATAAAAATATACGGAAATTCTTTACCAAACATGTGATAAATTTTGTGTCTACAGATTTTTACCAAGCCATAACCTGATTTTAGTAAAAACCATTTGAAACCGATTTTTTGGAAGTCTTCCGAACGGTATAATAGAGACATTTGAATTGTTTGCCAAATTGTTTGATAATACAGTTGAATTGTTTGCAGGTTTACCAAATGACTTAAGTGCATTCTGGCAGCAGTATCCTTGGACTTTGGGAGAACCATTCTGCAAACTAAGAGCCCTCATCTCCGAAATGTAGGTATTATTCTTACAAAAAGTATGACATGTCGAATTTCACAAGTTTTAGAGTGAATTAGATATGTTGATTCTGTTTTCTCTTTGTTTATCGTTGCTTTCCGAGTTTTATCATGGTATTGTCATCACACAACAACATTTTCTATTCACAATAAAATACTGTTTTAAATAATTTTGAACTTTTCTGTTTTTATCTTCTTTCTTTTCATAGGCCCTACAATTTGTCTAAGTTTTACAAGATAAATTCTATCAGCGTCGCTAATGTTGGAATATTATTTGATACATTCCACTCACTTGTAAATAAAATCCTAAAAATTATTTAAAATGTTCCGTTTGGCAAAAGTCAATTTTGTTTGACAAATCTTTTCCACAATATTTTTTACTTATCCGTATACGTCTTTTCAGGACGTCCTACACGTCAGTGCTGACAATAGTTGCGTTTACAACTGAACGTTACCTCGCCATCTGTCATCCATTACTCTCCTACACCATGACAGGGCTGAGACGAGCCGTGCGGATCGTAACTGTTGTCTGGGGACTGTCGTTCATCAGCGCTCTACCCTTCGCTTTGTTTACGAAGGTGATTTTTTGTCAAATAAAATACTCGAAACATAAAGACAGTTAGGTAAATAGCCTTAAATTTATAAATCACACGGGCAAAGCAGTGCTGGGAGTAAGATGGTCTAGTCGTAGAGCGCAGGGCTTTACTGCTGAGGTCGTGGGTTCAAATCCCATCAATTACCATTGTATCCATATGATGATGTCACGACCCTCTACGTCTAGTCTGAAGTAATGTGTAAACGGTTCCGGGCTAGATCCTAGTATCCCAGGATTTGAAGCTAGGCAGATAGAAACATTAATTGTTATCGCAGTGATGAAGATAAGTGCAGGAAGTCCTAGAAATAGCAATTCAGTCGTTTCAGGATATTTTTTGCTAAGAAACGCCTTGAGTTGAGAACAGTTAAGGGAATTGTCACTTGAAGTGAGAATGTTGTAGGAAAGTATAATAAGAAGATATAGGGAAAATAATTATGAAAATGAAAAGCAGATAGAAGTACATGAAATAAATCATTACTGGATATTTTAAAATATCAAAATAGGATTAATAATGTCCTTATTTGTGTATAGATAGGTTGTTGATATCACTATTTAGTAATACCGTGCTTAGGTCTAGATGTCATTCTATGCAATGGAATCTTTGCTGTATCCAGAAAGGTGTCCAACTAATATTTAAAAGACACTGTGACAGATTTTAATAAATTCAACCATCAAAATTGATTCTTTACTTTCTACAATAATGCAAATCATAATTTGTTTCACTTCTATCTTGTAAGTCCATCGTTTTCCAGGTGAACTACATCACGTTTCCGCCAGAAACAAACAACATCGTAGAGGAGTCTGCGTTTTGCGGGATGTTGGACGAGAACATTCCAGATAACTTGCCAATCTACGAGCTCAGCTTCATTGTGTTCTTCCTCCTGCCGTTGTGCATCATCGGCGTCTTGTACACTAAGATCGGGCTGCAGATCCGATCTGGGTCGTTGGACAAGGGAGTGAACGGGTCAGTGCATGGGGAGACAAAAACATCTCAGTCGAGGAAGTCGATTATCAGGATGTTGGGTAATGTTTCGATTAAAGATACAAATTTCTTTAAAAATTTAATTTATTTTAAAATTGTATGTGTTTAGCCTACCTGCATTCATACAGTCCGTAATGTTGCAATTGGGAAAGTTTTGACTCATTTCTAGGCCAGGCTGTCGTGTTACGTCTTAAAACTAGTTTTACTATAGTCAATATTTTGTCTAAAAAAGATTACAAGCATCGCTGTGTAAACAGGCGATAGTCAAGGTTTACAAATAGTGTAAAAACTAACAAAACATTATTTACGAAACTCTGTGAAACATTTAAAATAATCATCAGTTGAGTGTTGGATTGAGAAGTCTTGTGTATCTTACTGTCCTCAATCAGGGAGAGTTTTGGTCTAGTGGTAGAGCGCAGGGATTCGGTGCTCAAGGTCCCAGGTTCAAATCCGATCAATCACCAATGTATTTTATACAATTGATGCGGCAACCCTCTAGGACTAGCTTGAAGTAATGTGTAAAACAGTTCTGGGCTAAAGGTGGGTCAGGAAAAAATTGGTCTACAATCAGCTGTTTTTCATCCACGATAACTAGCTCTTCATCCAGCTTCTTCTTAAAACCATTTTAACATCTATAATAATTATTGTATAAAAAATACATGTTTAGGCCTACATTTATTTTTTAGGGTCCAATGGGGGGGGGGCTTTATCCCCTATAGCCCCCCTTAAACCGCCACAGGACCTTCTTCTTGTAAAGCGAGCGTTTTCAGACGAATCACTAATCCAGAATCAGGAACCCATAATTTTTCTTCACTCTAGTTGCAGTCGTGATAACCTTCTTCCTATGCTGGGCCCCATACCATGCCCAGAGACTCCACTACCGCTACGGTAGAGACAGTGACTACTACTACCAGATCAACGAGTGGCTCTACTACGTAGCCGGATGTTTCTACTACCTTTCATCAACAGCTAATCCTTTGCTGTATAACCTAATGTCTGGCAAATACAGAGACGGCTTCCGGCGGACATTCTGCGGCAGGTTTGTATATGATTAGTGGATAAAACACTAGCTTGAAATGTAAAAATGTGTAACAGGTTTTTCTGTATATTTTGTTATAAAAATATGTTTAAAGTTTGAGGTATGTCTTAGTAAAATCTGATATCTTATACAGAGAAGATTTGCGAAGTATTGTGTTTTTCTTTTTGAGGTTATCTATAAATTCTTAGAGACAGCAACGCATATTAGAGTTAACACAGTAGCACTGTTGCATATTTTAAGCTGAATATTAATCCAAGTTCTTGAACAAGTCATTGAATATACAGTAGACTCCCTCTTATCCGGACCGAGGCTAGTCCGGATAATGGGTTTTCACGACGCCCCCAAAAACTTGTTAAAACGGACTGTTTACTGTGATATTCTACTTAAATTTAGGAGAGCATTTATTGTATTAAGACATGTGATCACTGGTCTCAAATCTTTACCACAAGAACAGTAGTTTCAGTATTGCCCACTTCTTGTTGATCTAAATGTGCTGATAAAAATCAGGGCCGGCTAGAGGGGGGGGGGGGCAGGTGGGACCAGAGCCCCGGGGCCTTGGGTTGTGAAGGGGCCCGGCCCAGTAAAATGTTAATCTTTTTTGTACATGTAATCTGCTAAAGACAACATTTTAGCATGGTTGTCCCGTTTATTTAGTAATTTTTGACTGAAGCAAAGTTGTAACTGTGAGCACGAGAATTAATGAAACTAACATGCATTTTAGATATGTATTTAAAACGTATATATGTTATATGTGTAACGAAGTGGCACGGACGTGGCTGGACATTAAATCAGGAAAATAGGGGGCCCGGGATAGCTCAGCCCAGGGGCCCGTGACGGCTCTTGCCGGCCCTGATAAAAATTGTCCGGTTAAAGAGATGTAATTTCCGCCGAGTGTAGTCCGGTAAAACCAATGTCCAGTTAAAAGGTGTCCGGATAAGAGTGAGTCTACTGTACACCTTTTTATGTTATACCTGAAATCAAGCATTCTTGTTAAATTCAGGTGGATATCTTAGTAGCAAAGACACTGTGTATGAAACTTGCCCCACGATGTTTTAGAAGGAAGTTCATCTAAAAATTTAAAATCTATAGAACCACTTAAACTTCTGACATGAGAAGTCCCTTGGAGTAAAGTTTATACTTTTCTAGTCACAACCTAATTATAGGCCTTCAGTTTTTTCATTTATGGAACTTTCAGAACCCGCCAAGACAGCGTCAGAAGCACTAGTGGTCCTCGAAGTGCGTATAGATCGTCCGTTTCAGAGACGGCGCCTCTCAAACCTCCTGAAGAAACAAAAATCAAGTGGAACAAGGTTTGGGATTGGTTAACTATGTGGTTGAATTACTTTTTAATAATAGCAATTCCTATTGGTCTCCAACTTAACTATTTAAACGACCTCCATTTTTTTATGGAGTAGTTAACATTAAAATTTCTTAAGCCAGGTTTTCCAAGGCATGGTAGTGGAACACAGTGTGGAGAAGCGATTTCAATGGTGGGCCGCTCCACTTCTATGAGTACAGTAGTACCATTACATAATCTCAGAGGAGGACAGCGGACTCCACAATCCACATTACGCTTCTGCGCCTAGGAAAACCCAGCTTTAAAAAGCACTTTGTATTTTATGATTTTAAGCATTTATTGTAAAAGATTATTTACTTTTAAAATTTTGTCTTCAAGTCTTCCCATTTAGAAACTACAGCATGACATTAGAAAATATGGCACTTTATTGCATGATCACACAAAATGACACTTGAAAATGCTTTACACCTTGCCTTTTCATTGGGTTATCTCTGGAATACAATATAATTCTTTTTTAGTCCTACCTAAGCTCCAGGGTATGAAAACTTAATCTAAAGTAGTTTTTGTTCAGCCCGGACGAGACTTGGTGGTGACAATATCTCCAGATGAGGGCAGCACTACAGTGACTACCCAGAGTCATTGGCCGTGGACGGAACTGCGAGTCACCATGGATCATTCGCAGACTCGCAAGAGTCAACCTGTCCCCAAGATTTGTGTGGAAATGGAAACTTGCTTGTAACAGACCCAAGCTAATTATTAAATCAGATTTCTAGTGTTGTTTTTCATTCTTTTAAATTTACATACTTTTCCAACCCTACTACACATTTTTACGATTTAGGTGTAACTTTTAGGCTTATGACCTAGTGTAGATACTGATGGTAAGTATACCAGGCTGTTGGGATACAACCCCTAACCTTTGTTTTATTTCAAGCGAGCGCTTTCAAAGGGCCAGTAATAGTTACCAACTTACTTTGTAACGGTTTTCAATGTGAAACAATTCTGCACTACCTTACGGCTGACGGTCAACATCAATTTACTCCTACCGACTCTTAATTAATATTTTCCTTCAGTAAAATATAAATTTTGATTTATAAATGTTATTGTAATTAGATAAAATTAAAAATTTAAAGTATTGCTGGTAGATTATCAACATTCAATGTTCACAACATTTGACATTTAATTTTCATCTCTAAGGCTGCTACTTTTTATACACAATTTTGCTACCTTCAATCTTATTTTAGTTGTCTTTTTTGTTCAAATGGTTGTACAAATTAATCCTGGATAGAAAGGACTTGATAAAGAAGTTTTGTAGAAAGTAATGTTATTTATTTCCTTAATACAGCCTACAACAGTCAAATTAACAAAACGTCCATCACATTGGTCTAAACTTAACAAACAATAGTTCTTATAAAAGCTACGGTAACTAAAAGAATCAGCTTAGTAATAATGCAATACTGAATTTTTGGTCATGAATAAACACTAATTTATTATATATTGTTCCTGTAATAAGTTAGTCTATTTAACATTGTCTTGGTAGCAGAATGGTTACAGTGCTCGCCTTCAATCTGAAAGTCGCTGGATCCATTCCAAGTTTCTGAGCCCAGATACCATTCAAAAAATAAAATAAATATCAAAACCAGCCAACTCGTTGAAAATACAGTAGACATAAAACTATCGGAAGTAATTCCTGAAACCCCAAATCAAATCGATGTTCAGTGAAATAATAGAAATATAATAAACGGTTTCAGCAATCTGACGAATACTTTCTCCCATTAGCTTGTCAACAACCCTTATCATGGGCAATGGGAGTGACTATGATATTTTATGTGGAAAATAACAAAAGCAATATATTTTGAATCGTAATTTTTACAGCATGGGTTGTACCATTTTGCTTAGAGTTGATAGAGTCATAACATATTAAATTAGAACTTAAATTGTGTGAGCTGTTTTTGTACAAATCCTATTTCTCTGTTATTTAATGTGTTTCTAAGGAAAAATCCATATTTAAAATTTAAATTGAATAAATACCTGGAGATACCATGGATTAACGCCCACATACTAAATGTAATCAAGTTCGGACCACAGGTGTCTGTAACTCTGTATACATCCACTCACTTTTAAAACCACTTTTTTGGGTTCATAGGGATCCAAAACGGATATTTCTACCAAAAACTCAACCTCGGACATTTTGACATCAATAATACTTTCTCCAATATGTAATACTATAAGTAATAAAGAATATACAGAGAAGGAACATATATGTAATAAAGCATACATTTAATTCCCTACAACATTTATGCTACATTTAATTCGTAGGCCTAACTACAGTTAATAAAAAAAGTTCTGTAGAATAATTATATGAACTTAAAACTAGGAAAGATTCTCTGTTTTCTATTCTAAAACATAATCTACTGATTGTAAAAGTTACTAAGATGGTAACTAAATAGAGCAGTGCATTAGTGAGTGCTATGACATATTTGATAAGAGATAAGTGTGTTTTCAAAGCACCATTCTCCAAAGTAAAATTAGTAATCATCAGGAATCAAACAGTATGTTTATTGTCGTGAGACTAATTTTTGTGTTCACATAAATATTTACAAAACAAAAAATAACACTTAAAAAGGACTCAATAAATGTGTAACATGGATTAATTAGTAACCTTACTTAACAGTATATGTTGAAATAACTTGTACAAAAGAAATAAAAATACCACATCTCAACAATCAATTAAGCGTGTGATTCAAATTAAATTGATAATACAACAAGAAACATAATTGTCTAAAGTAAAACGTTATAGTCATGTTTTTAAGCATGACTATTTAAATTCATTTTAAGAAAACTACTGTTTTGATGCAATTTCTCGATTACAATTCAATGAAGTGACATTAACTACAACATTCACTATAAACTAATCTAACAAGCTGGTTTTAAGAATAACAGATATATTAAACATCCACAATCTTCTTAAAAACTTTAATCGGAAGTTTTGCTTCGTCTTTCTCGTTTATTTCAGACGAATCTTCATCTTGTTCCATACTTTCTATATTTTCAACTTTTACTTCAGACTCGGTTTCACTTTTGGAATTTTCTGCATCCACTTCACTATGAGCTAAATTCTTATTCTTGATCAATCTTGATCTTGACATCTTGCGATCCGACTTAACCGATTTACATTTCTCGCTCACAGAAACGTTGAAAAAAGACTTTTCCACGGTGCTTTCGGTCTCGTCGTCTCCCGCCAGTAGATGGTTTAAGTTGAAAAACGAGTTTGAAGACAGAGTGGTAAAATCGCTCGTGGTTGCGAAGTCTGCACAGTCCTCCTCCTGGTGTTTCAACAGCAGGTTCTTGCGGATGAAGGATCGTCCACAAGCCAGACACTTGTAGGGTCGCTCACCCGTGTGAACAGCTGAGTGGCTCGTGAGGTGCGGCTTTTGACTGAACGTCTTGTCACAAAAGTCGCACTTGTACGGACGTTCGCCTGTGTGGAGCATCGAATGCCGCTGAAGATCCCCCTTGCGACTGAATCTAGAGGAAATATTGTCTGTTATTTCAAGTATTTGAGTGTTTCAAGGATTATTGCGGACAGCCTTTGGCGAACCAAGAATTGGATCGTTAGCTAAGACGAATATTGTTTATCGAACATTGGCTGGTACATTACTTAAATTTTGTAAATAAATAAATATAAAACAATGCAATATTGCGGTTTATCTAAATTCCCTTTTCATTTGATAACAAACTTTACACAATGAAATCGGTCAACACATTTGGTATGCAGTTAACAGATATTCTAAGAGAAACCAGATTTTTTGTTGTATTAATTGTATTTCTAATATTAAATCAATTACTTTTTGCTTTTGAGCCCCCTAGTCCCCTTTAGTGTGAAATAAGTCGAGCGGTAGTAATAAAGGATCAGCCGATGCACCGTTAAATACATACAAGGTTTTTTCTCTTCTTTTAACCTTGCATTTGACCGTTTACATAGACTACAGATCTGTGTGTAGAAAGTATCTAGTAAAGCAAGGGGTGAGCCGGTACAGTACAAAGGTGAACTGTACTGATAAAATGTTTGCGGCAGTGATCAGCAGTGTTGGGGAAGCTACTTTTAAAATGTAGCTAGCTACAACTACTGCTACATTTCAAAAAAAGTAGCTTAGCTACAGCTACAGCTACAGTTCTGAAAAAGTAGCTAGCTACAACTACAGCTACAATGAAATGTAGCTACAGCTACAATTTTAGCTACTTTTCCAAAGACGATACTTTTTATTCCTTTGCACATTAGGTAAATGTAAAATTAATTGCAACTACATTTTTATTGAACAAACATTAAAAAATGCCAGTATTTTATCTAACATTACTTGGAAAACAAATTATTCCTAGATTGTATTTAATTTGTTGGCACTATAAACCTAACATTACAACAACAGAACCAAATAGTTCGGTGTCCCATCATATTTAGTACTGTACTTATTTTTAAATATTGCATTATTTTTAAGCATCTTTCTTGTAAATCTCATTAAGTTCAAAGGACATACAACCAAACTATATTTTAAAAGCTCATTTTATTTCTTTAATATAGATTCATTTATAGATGTCTTATATAAACAATTAAGACCAATAAAACTGTAAAACGATTATTTAAAAATACTTTTTCGTGTTACAGAGCCTAGCCTAGTGAAATTGGAGTTTATTGCCTTTCTTTACTTTTAATGTTAAAAATGACATTGCCATAACTTTTAACCATAATGATAAGTTACTTGATCTATGAATAACACTTTTCAATGTCAAGAAATCATCCTTTATTGGCATTATGCATAGGGCAAATTGTGCTTCAACCTAGTTAGTATTCAGGTATTCAACCACAGAAAACAGTATTCAGCAACTTATCCTGAAGACCTGAAATCGGCTTTTAATTTAAACATGTTGAAATTTGTAAAGTAAAAATAACATGTGGGCCTACTTGGCTAAACAGATATATTCCTAATAATTGAACTTGGTATTCGTCTTAAACCATAGCATAGCCTAGTAATAGTCCTATACAAGAGCTGTTAGCAGGAGCAAACTATGCTTTTTTTTCAATGTAAGTTTCATGTTATATGGAGATTTTTTCGTTACTATTATCATGTAGAATAGCCATATCTTAAATCTCATCAGGTAATTTCCTCTTTGTTAATTTTGTAAACCTTTGAAAAATCTTCGTAATCTAACCAAGGAAGGGCTTGTGCTGATGAACCACAATCAACAGCTGAAGCAAAGGTTGATAGACCAGCTTTCTCATTATTTTAAGGTTTAGTGTTAGTTTCCATTAAAAACCAAGTTGAAACACTATCGATTTAATAAAGAAACTAAATTGATTACTAATTTCCCTGTCAATCACTTACAAGCATTCAATAGCTTCTCTTGTCACCGGTAACGTTTAAACGTCGTCTGCATCTAGCGATTTTATTTTTCTGACAGTAATCATAGAGTAGTAAATTAAGGAAATGAGAGCCAAAAATGTGGATAACACTCATTTAATGGCCTCCATGTCCACACAACGTTGTAATAGGGAATGAAACGGCTGCAAACAGCTGTATAAAGCCAAGAAAGTATGCCCAATTTTTTTGAAAATCTCAGTTTGAAAGAGGTTGTTTCACGTAATGTTGAGGTTATGATAAAAATCACTATCTCATCAATGTTAATGTAGCGAGAAAAGTAGTTAAAATTCCGCTACAACTACTTTAAAAATGTAGCTAGCTACAGCTAAAGCTACAAAATCTTAAAAGTAGCGTAGCTACAGCTAACGCTA